TGTTGAACTTACACCCTCAACTGGTATGTAAATTAAATGCAATTCAAATAAGAATCTCCACATAACCTTATAGGGCGGTGATGGTAGTGAGATTGAATAAAAGATTTTAAGGTTTTTATGGCAGACTAAATTTGCAGAATAGTCAAGTAAGGTATGAAATAGAAAACAAAAAGATTTGCTTTCACAGCTATCAGAAATAATACAAAGCCTCTTTAATCAAAACAGTGTGGGGACAGGAATATGCAAACAGATAATACAGAGAACAATCTAGAAATCAATCCCAGCATATATGAGAATTTAAAATATGACAAAGATGGTAGTTCTACTGAGTAGGAAAACAGGAGCAGCACAACTGGTTATCCATCTGGAAGAAAGTAAAATCGAACTGCTTTCTCATGCCACATACAAAAATAAATTCCAGATGGATTAAAGACATAAAAATTAACACAAAGAATAAAAATCTTGCAAGAAAACGTTGGAAGCCACATTTACAAAATAGAGAGATAGAAGAGGCCTTAACCAAGAAACAGTTTTCTACATAAAAATTGAAAACGTCTTGTATGGCACAAAACCATAAATAAAATCATTAAAAAATACATGTATAATGCATATGAAAAGGATTAGTAAACATAATATATAGAGTGTGTTTAGAAACTGTTATCTTAAAAACACTTCATAAATGTACAAAGAACATGAAAAGGTAATTTATAGAAGAGCAAATCATTCACATTTACTGGTAACCAGAGAACTGCAAACTAAAGATATGCTAGGCCAGGCGCAGTGGCTCATGCCTGTAATTCCAGAACTTTGGGAGGCCGAAGTGGGAGGATCACGAGGTCAGGAGTTCGAGACCAGCCTAACCAACATGGTGAAATTCAGTCTCTACTAAAAATACAAAAATTAGCCAGGCGTGGTGGCGTGCACCTGTAACCCGAGCTACTCAGGAGGCTAAGGGAGGAGAATTATTTGAACCCATGAGGCAGAGGTTGCAGTGAGCCAAGATCGCACCACTGCACTCCAGCTTGGGCAACAGACAGAGCAAGACTCTGTCTCAAAAAAAAAAAAAAGCTGGCATCACTTACATCCACTGATAGTAAAAATTAATAACTAATACTGGTTGAGATATGGGGCAGCAGGTACTCTGCTGGTGCAACTATATGCAACTACATTGTTGGCAGAACTGTGAACTGTCACATCCGAGTGCACTGCACAGTATCCGACACATACTTAGTGCTCAAAAAGGTAGCTACTACTATTGTTCTATTATGTCCCTTCTAGATCTCTACTGAAATTTAAAAACCTAAAAAGTTTTCACTTTAAAAAGCAAAACAGGAAGAAGAAACTAACTCCATTGCTTATTGAAATAAGAAACACCTTTAAAAGCATACTATGTATTTTATGTGACTAAAAGGTCATTTGTCCTTGGGTTAAAAAGGTATATGGAAAAATTCCCACATGCACCCCATACAAGACAGGCTTGACAACTAATGCAAGACGATAACACAGACATTAATCAGTTTTGTTTGCCAGGTTAATTTTTTTGATCTTTACTCTATGAATCACATCACTCTTTCCTGCTCTAGTCTTTGAAGAAGCTAAGCAAAAAAAAAAAAATCTCGAAAGTAATATTATACGCAAAATTTCAGAACACAAAGTATATTATCTGGCGAAGAAGCCATGTTCAGAATAAATACTTTCTAGAAATTAGTAGGGTGTACATATACATATTTTCTAAATAAGTGTAATATGTACAAATCCTGCTGTGTGCAAGAATGTTTATAGTTTTATTTGTAATAGCTAAAATTGGAAAAAATCAAACGTTTGTAATAGCAGATTGTATTTTTAAAGTGTAGTTTATTCATATAATGGAATACTCTAAACAACTTTTTTAAAAGACAACAAAAAACAAGCTACTGATACACTCTCAAAATAGAGGAGCAAAAGAAGTGAGATACAAACGAGCACATGCTGTGTGACTGTATAACTGCATTTAAATTAAATTCAAGGATGGGCGCGGTAGCTCACGTCTGTAATCCCAGCACTTTGGGAGGCCAGGGCGGGGGGAATCACCTGAGGTCAGGAATTCGAGACCAGCCAAGCCAACATGGGGATATCCTTTCTCTACAAAAATACAAAAATTAGGCAGGCTTGGTGGCGCGTGCCTGTAATCCCAGCTACTCAGAGGCTGAGACAGGAGAATCATTTAATCCAGGAGGCGGAGGCTGCAGCGAGCCGAGATCCTGCCACTGCACTCCAGCCTGGATGACACAGCAAGACTCCATATCCAAAAAAGAAAAAAATTCAAGAACAATCAAAACTAACCTAAGGAGAGAAAAGTCAGAATAATGATGACTCAGGGGTGTAGTAAGGGTATTTATGACTAGAAAGTACATGAATAATTTTTGGGGGTTATAGATATGTTCTTGCTCTTCATAGTGGTCACTGAAGTGTATTTACATGCAAAATGTCATGGAGCTATATACTTTTTAAAAAGTAGCTTACATGCAAACTTTGATAGCTCGGTTGGTAGGGTAGAGGACTGTAAAAAGTACCTACTGCCCGCAAAAACATTTCAGAGTAAGTTAAAAAATGTCAATTACCATTTCCATACAATGATAACTCTTAATTCCAGGAAGACAGAAAAGAAAAGCAATACCAACTTACATTAGCTATCACTGTCATTTTTTTAAATTCACAAATATTATGGTGGTTAAATAATTTCTATTTTCTGATCATCTACTAGCAATTTAAATTAATACATATCCATTAAAAAATTTGGGAGCTGGGCGCTGTGGCTCACACTTGTAATCCCAGCACTTTGGGGGGCTGAGGCAGGCGGATCATGAGGTCAGGAATTCAAGACCAGCCTGACCAATATGGTGAAACCCCGTCTCTACTAAAAATAAAAAAATTAGCTGGGAGTGGTGGCAGGTGCCTGTAATCCCACCTACTCAGGAGGCTGAGGCAGGAGAATTGCTTAAACCCAGGAGGCAGAGGTTGCAGTGAGCCAAGATCGCACCACTGCACTCCATCCAGGGTGACAGAGCTAGACTCTGTCTCAAAAAGAAAAAAAAAAACTGTAAGTTCAATGTGAAATATAAAGTACACATCACCAGTATATACAAATCAATCAAATGTTTCATATTTTTTAATAGTCTTTCTTTTATATATAACTACCAGGTTCTTTTTCTATCAACAGATGTCACCACTTTCATGGAACCAGAAAAACAGAATCCATTCAGTTACAGACACTTCATGTCTTACGAATAGTCTTACCAAAAATATTTAGTTTAAAGCAATAAGCTCTTAAGAAATCATTTTTGACCAAACATTTCAAAGGACTTCAAAAAAACTAAATAGTGTCACAAATCTAAAATATGATTTGCCAACAAAAGAAAATAAAAACTAGGTGTATCTCTAATAGACATAGATGTCATATAACCTCATTCTTCAGTGGCTCCATTCATACTATGAGTACAATGCTCTACCCATCTTTCTGTGCCTGGAATTCATCTCAAGTGTTACATTCCTGAGAGACTCCCCTGTTCTCCCAGGCAGAATTAATAACTACTTTTGGTGGCTCCCACTGTGCTTTTTCAGACACATTCTATCATAAGACAGTTACTTGCTTTTGTGTTTAACGTCCTAGCTCCAACACTGTGGTTGTAATAGTTACTCAACAATAAATACTAGTTAAACAATGATATCAACTTAATAGAAGGAATCAGAATACTTATTATTGAAACAAAAAAAATTCTGTCTGGAAATAAGACGACGAGAAAGAATATTAATATTCTGAGGACATAAAAGTCATTTTCTGGTGAAGGTCCTATCTCATGTTTGAATGCTGTTCTTCCAGGCCAGGTGAGGCAGCTCACACCTGTAATTCCAGCACTTTGGGAGGCCAAGGCAGTCAGATTGCTTGAGGCCAGGAATTCAAGACCAGCCTGTCCAAAATGGAAAAACCCCACTCTCTATTAAAAATACAAAAATCAGTCAGGCGTGGTGGTGCACACCTGTAATCCCAGCTTCTTGAGAGGCTGAGGCACAACAACTGCTTAAAGCTGGGAGGCGGAGGTTGCAGTGAGCCTAGATCATGCCACTGCACTCCAACATGGGCGACAGAGCAAGACTCTGTCTCAAAGAAAAAAAAAAAAAACCTGCTCTTCCCTTATAAGGTGTTTTCTAATAAGAGCTTTATAGAAAGATATCATTCATATATAAGGTTTTAACTTTTTTTTTTTAAGACAAGGTTTTACCTTCTGTCACACTGAAAAATCTCCTATATTTTTGAAGATTCTGAGTAATCCATTCACAACCCAGGTTTGGGATTTGCATACTATTGGAGAAACTGCTTCCTAAAGGTAAATACTTCAAGAATTTGAGAAAATTAAAACTAAAACCGAAAACACGAACACAAAGGCACAAAACATTGCCTAACCTTGCAGAAAATTATTTTAAATCCTGATATGCTTGTACAAGAAATAGTTTTTCTTGCAAAACTTTGAGGAATGCATGAACTTCAGAAGGGGAACACCATACAAATGAGGATTTTTTTCACTTTAGAGGAATGAGCTAAAAGAGAGTATGGTTTAAGATTAAAAAATTATTTTCTTACAATTGCAGAAACTGGAACTAAGCCTTCCATACTAAGAGCACATTTCTGTAAAATGTGAAAAGTATTAAAATAGTCAAAAGAAAATTTTTACACATTGCACAGCACAAGTGGTTTGACTAAAAATGTTTTTTACAGTCAAAAAAGGATCTGGATATACAATGGGCTAGAAGACATCTTTGGTCTGAGGTGATATGAATCAATGAGAAAAAACTATGACTTCTCCTTTGTGCAACAGAAAAAACATGTAAGAGCTAGAAGTATTAACAGTTCTATCCTTAAATAAATAATCATAAAAACTTCTTATAAGTCAAATAACTACAATGATCTTTTCATCACAAATCTCTAAAGAATTAATGCTGAAGCTGAATTATCACCCCCTTACCTTTGTGATAAGAATGCGGTATTTTTCTACCAGGTGGTCATTGTTATGACAGCCTGCTAGCAGCTGCCAGACTTCTCCCCGAAGAGCTTCAGGGACACCGTTTCTTACTAAGGTTGACAACTGCTTTGGTCTCACATTCAAGTTGAGATGCCTAAAAATAAAGCCATAAACCATAAATCACAAAAGGAAGATTCCCTAAAGACTGTTACTTTTCTCAAAGTCAATCTAAATGGCTTACAAATACGTGACAAGGTAACAAAGTAATAAAGGGGAAAAAAAAGTGCTTCTGAATTGAAGATAACTATGAGAGACTGGGTGGAAGAAAATAAAAATCCACATAGATTCTGCAAACTGCTTCTTAAGTATCTTTAAATTACTTCTCTACTTTAAAAAAAAAAAAAAAAAGCAAAACTGGAAATCACAGATGACGCTCTATGGCTATGGTTTATGTAAAAAAGATGGCCGGGTGCGGTGGCTCACGCCCGTGATCCCAGAAATTTGGGACGCCAGTTCAAGACCAGCCTGGGCAACATGGTAAAACTCCGTCTAAATACAAAAAAAATAGCCCATCATGGTGGCACATGACTGTAATCCCAGCTATTCAAGAGACTGAGGCAGAAGAACTGCTTGAACCGGTAGGCGGAGGTTGCAATTAGCCAAGATTGCACCACAGCACTCCAGCCTGGGTGACAGAGCGAGACACCGTCTAAAAAAACAAAAAAACAACAAAGAGCAAAATTCTAATCAGTGGACATATAATAAAGGACAAGAACCTAGCTCTACATCAAAACTGACAAGTGGTCAGCGAGGCACGGTGACTTAGGTAGTTCCACTGCTTTGAGAGGCCAAGGTGGGAAGATTTCTTGAACCCAGGAGTTTGGGACCAGCCTAGGTAATATAAGAACCCCGTCTCTACAGAAAAATAAAAATAAGCTGGCATGATGGTTATATTCCTAGCTACTTGGGAGGCTGTGGCAAAAAGATCACTTGAGCCTAGGAGTTCAAGGCTGCAACAAGAGATCGCACCACTGCACTCCAGCCTGGGTGACAGAGACAGATTCTGTCTAGAAAAAACAAAATTGACAAGAATATTGTATATTTATACGTTCTAAGTTAAAATAAAACATCTCAAGTATGTTTCCAACAGTTTTTATGATGCCTTCCTTCAAATAACTTTTCTGAATGCTTATGGTGGCTAATAACATTTCCACTGAACTACTGTATCACTACAAGTTGCCAAAATCTTTGGACTTCATTTATGTCACCTATAAAATGGAGAAAATTACACTAGCCTTGACACGTTGGTATAAATGTACAAAGTGCTTCTGCATACAGTATCTTATTTGATCTTCAGAATAACCATCTCGGGTAGATGGTAGTATCTCTAGATTTACAGATGCAGAAAAAATTTCAGGGAGGTCAATTAAATGACTGAAGTAGTCCTCAAATTCTTAAGACTAATATTATAGAGCAGCTGGTTTGTGACTTGAGAGTCACCATTACTGAGTCAATAAAGCAGGATCCTGACATTAAAAAGATGCTGTGACTATCACACGTAAGCAGAAGTTACTGATACAAAATAACCACTATCAAATTATAAAAAGGCCGTGATTTTTCTCAAAATGTTCATAGAATCCTATGAGAATTCTGCACAGTACATTTAAAAGTGATTTATTCTGTGACACTGGTACCCTAATGCAAGTGCTATAGACAATTCAATAGTTTTGTCCTTGTTTAGATAAAAACATTATACAAAAGTTGAAGAGTTATGAGCAGAAAGAACAGACATAGTTCTGTTGCTAACTCAATCCCTGGTATGCTACGGCCTGTGGGCCAAACTGGGCCTATCACCTGTTTTCGTAAATAAACTTTTATTGAAACACAGCCACGCTTATTTGTCTAAGTATTGTGTATGATAACTTCTGCACTACAATAGTAGAACTGAGTAGTAGTGACAGACTATTAGCCTGCAAAACCTAAAATATTTATTATTTGGCTCTTTACAGACAAAGTCTGCTAATCTTACTAGCTTAATTTACATTGATAAAATTACTTTCAGAATAATTCCATCTCATTGATAATACTAACTTTATCCAACTTAGCAACCTATTTTATACTGACATTAGTTCTCTTATCCATTAAGAGTCATATTAAAATGAACTTGGAGAATTAGAGCTCAAAGATACTATTAATACTACCACTAAAATCTAATGTAGAGTTAAATAGTTAAATAAACTATCTTTGGGATCAGACTTGACTGTGTTAAAAATTCTGGCTGTGATATTTACTAACTAGAATGCCTTAACCTATGAACCAGTCTCATCTGTAAAAAAACAAATACTTTATAAGGTTGTTAGAGTTGAAATACAGCACATAACAGCATGGTGCCTAAAATATGGTAGATTCATTCATTCTATGTTATTGTAACTACAACCATGGTATCCATTATTTTTAATCTATAATAATTACAAATGGTAATTTTATAGACTTCTATTTTCTAAATGAAGAAACAGACTCAAAAGAGTTAAGTGACTTGTCTAAGACCACACAGCTTAAAAGTAGGAGAGGTAGAATTTGAAACCAGGTCTACCAGGCTTTAAAATTCCATTATTACAATGCTTCTTATCCACAGGACACATATCCATAGAACACACATAATAATGAGAAAAAATCACAATGTAATGAACTAAAGAAGAGACACTATTATATCATATCTGAAGATATGACTAAAGCAAGCAAAAATAGCTTAAATACCCTGAAAGATAGTAGAGACAGATGGAAACTCAACAAATACATCTGAGGGAATAGGAAGACATGTTAATTAAATTAATAACAAAGCTTGATAACAAAACGAATTCCAAGCTGTTGTATAAGATGCTGATGGGTTCGTGTAATGAAAGCTAACTAGAGTCTTAATGCTATATCTACATGATTTTAAATATATTATTATGTAACCATATCAAAACTCAATTACATTTCTGTTTTAGAGCAGAAACCTTTTAATACAGATAAAATTCCTGCCAGCAGCATCCCAAACACTCCAAATTCACTGAACTGAAAATATAATTGTGGTAAGAGCACCAGAAGTTTTGTCTCCTGGCGTAAAGAAATATCAAAAATATAAGAAAACTATTACTCTGGGGTTTTTTGCAGAGTTCATTTATTAAAATAACTTGTGTAAAGACAAATTGTGCTTTGGTTTGCTTTTTTCTCCTGTACACATTTTGACATTTTCCAGTGTGGAGAGTGTTTTGTCAAAAGTGTAAAGCATTGTGAGAGTAATATAAAAGGAGATAATGCCCATTTGTAGCCCTATCCCTGAAGGGCATAAAATGCTTTAAAATTCTGAGACAGAGCTTTACTCTAACAATGCAGTGAAATATTTCAACAGTTAAAATGTCGAGAAAAATCAAACCCCAAAGTAACGGGCCAACAGGGAGTTTATATGACAACCCTAGTAACCAGAATGTCAGAAATAGAGAAATGTTCAGATCTCTTCCAAGCTCAGCTTTTTTCAGCATATGCTGGCATCCTACTCAAGAAGAAAAGGAAACTGTATAAATGTCTCACCAATCTGACTTACCAGAATATCTGTGGTCATGTTAATAAACACCTAAAGGCAATATATTCTTTTTGTTTGGTGTTTTTTCTTTTTTTTGTTTTTTGGAGAAAGGGTCTCAACTCTGTCACCCAGGCTGGAGTGCAGTGGTGCAATCAAGGCTTACTGCAGCCTCGAACTCCTAGGCTCAAGCGATCCTCCTGCCTCAGCCTCCAGAGTAGCTGGAACCACAGGTGCGCGCCACCATGCCCGGTTAACTTTTTCATGTTTTGTAGAGATGGGATTTCACCAAGTTGCCCGGGCTGGTCTTGACTTCCTGGGGTCAAGCAATCCTCCCGCCTTGACGTCCCAAAAGGCTGAGTTTACAGATGTGAACCACCACACCCAGCCTGAAGGCAATGTATTCTTTTTAGATAGCCTATTGGATAGCGCTTCTTAACACTGCTGTCAAACCATCTCTTGAGCTGATGATAAATTCCTAAATTTTTTTAAGTGTTAGTAGGAATTTTGTAAGAGTTAGTAATCAATAGAGCAGGTAATATATACCATGCTCATGACACTTTGCTCTGTCATTCTAGATACTTATCACAGATAAGGGAAAAATCCCACCTGCGGTCTCTACCATGGCTCTATGCATTGTGTGAACATCCTCTAAACGGACTGCTGTGTATTATCTGAACTACTCAGTGGTTCCTAACCTCTTCAATATAAAAGATACTTTTCTTATTTATTCTGTACATGAATTCCACGTTCGGATAAATATTTTCTCCAGCAACGAGAACTTAGTAGGTTCCTGATATTCTGAAAATTGATTTCAATTCTCTACTACTACTCATATAAATCTCTAAAATAGATCACAGAATGCAAACCTTGAGCTTAGGTTTCTACTATTGGTTCCAAAATTGAATATTATAGTTAGGTAAGATTCTCTAAATGAATCTTACACAAAATGAGAATTTGCAGATAAAAACTATTCTAACATAACTTACCATTTTGACAACAGTTCTCCCCATGTTTCAAGAATTTTTTCTGCACATTCTTTGGATACATCACCAGATCCACTCAGGAGAGGTTCATCATTATCTATAATAAACAAAACACACAAAAACGGTAACAGGGGTGGCTATGTTAACCACAACACTGGAATGTTTAAGAGTCAAATTTGAAAGACTTTACTGGGAGCATAAAGTCACAATTTCTCTCTTTTAGTACTTATGGATAAGTACAAAAAAAATAAAAATGGTTCTAGGTAAAATGCTGTAATCTCTTTAATCCTCTTTTGTTTTCCACATAGGTCCATATTATGTCAATCCCCCCACCCCCCAAAAAAAGGAGCTATTTAATTATAAAACTATAGGATTCAAAATATGGTATTTTCTCTCATTTTCTAAAGCAAACAGCTTTATGCATGAAAATATGTTTAAGTCTTATTCAAAACACTTAAAAAGTTTCAAACTACCTAAGTGTCCAACAACGGGAGTACAGAATGGTTGAAGAAATTATAATACATGTATATAATGCAATTGCATGTTGACATTTATGTTTATATAATGATGATATGGTTTGGCTCTGTGTCCCCACCCAAATCTCATCTTGAACTGTAGTTCCCATAATCCCACGTGTCATGGAGGGACCCGAAGGGAGGTAACTGAATCTTGGGGGCGGTTTCCCCCATGCTATTCTCATGACAGTGAGTTCTCTTGAGATCTGATGGTTTTATAAGCATCTGGCATTTCCCCTGCTGTCACTCATTCTTCTTTCCTGCTGCCATGTGAAGGACATGTTTGCTTCCCCTTCTGCCATGATTCTAAGTTTCCTGAGGCCCCCCCAGCCCTGTAGAATCAATTAAACCTCTTTTGTTTATAAATTTTGCAGTGAGCTGAGATCGCAGCACAGAACTCCAGCCTGGGCAACAGAGCAAGACTCCGTCTCAAAAAAAAAAGAAAAAATTAAACCTCTTTTCTATATAAATTACTCAGTCTCAGTTGGGTATGTCTTTATCAGCAGTATGAGAATGGACTGATACAAATGATATGGCAAAATACAGTATAAAATGAAAATATAAAGAGCTTAATATTCATTATGATCTAATCTATGTTATAAAATAGAAAACAGATCAGTATAAACTATACCAAACACTAACAATTGCTCCCTCTAAGTGACAAAGTTATGATTGGTATTTTTCTCTGCTGTTTTATGTTTTTATGACTTTCTAAATTTTCTAAAATGGGAAATAATAATTTATAAAAGAAAGCACAAAAATACTTTAAAAGGCCAAATTAAATCATTTCTAATTTAATTCAATTAAGGAAAGTAAATTCAAGTCAGAAGTTAGAGATTATAAGATACAAAGACAGTGAAAACAGTGACACTGATCAAGGCATTAGAGGAACTAAAAAGCATAATGAAAGCAGAGAATCAACATGGACTAAGATATCTACTTAATCCTCTTATTGGACACTTGGGAGTTTTTAACTTCTTGCTACAAACAGAATCAGGATGAATATATCTCACTGCTTTCATCGGGTATATGCTCAGAAACTGACTTTCTCAGTTTTAAAAAGAAAGCATATTTTTAAGAATACTGAAAATTTCCGACAAACTGACTTCCAAAATGTTCTACCAATTTATAATTCCACTAACTGGGTTACAACAGTACTTGTTTCCATGGATCTTTACCAATGCTCTTTCTAGACTTTGTTTATTTTTTAGCTTAACTTGCCTAAACAAACTCTGGCTCTTTACACCCCTAATGACTACATGTTGAATCTGCATCCCCAACAGAGACAACAATTATCTGAAAGCACTAATTTTAAAGACTCGGAAATCTGTGATACTTCTTATTGAACTTCTTTATATTATAATGCTTTGGACATCATCATCAGTTTCGCTAGTGAGACACAGAAGATGATAGAATGTGAGAGATCTTCTGTATATGGATGAATAAGGTAAAGAAGAGAAAAGGCTAGGCCGGGCACAGTGGCTCACGCTTGTAATCCCAGCACTTTGGGAGGCCAAGGTGGGCGGATCATCTGAGGTCAGGAATTTGAGACAAGCCTGGCCAACCTGGTGAAACCTCATCTCTACTAAAAATATAAAAATTAGCTAGGCGTGGTGTGGGCACCTGTAATCCCAGCTACTCAGGAGGCTGAGGCAGGAGAATCACTTGAACCCAGGAGGCAGAGGTTGCAGTGAGCCAAGATTGTGCCATTGTACTCCAGTCCGGGCGACACAGTGAGACTCCATCTCAAACAAAAAAAAGAAAAGAAAAAAAAGAAAGGCTCAAGGGCACTAAGGTAAATGTCCCCAACTTCACTACCTTGCCAGACTGACCCTACTTTCTAAACTCTCAAGTAATTTTCTATTTATTAAAACACCAATATACTAAATACAACTCTTTGGGGAAAGGTGGCTATGAAAAACACACTAAAATTTAGAAGGGATGATAATTTCTTCAAAAATATTAGACAAACATTATCTTACAAAATTCTCTTTCACATTTTGGATACTTTCAATAAATCTGGGCAGTAGTAGTTTAAAATCTGTGTTAAGAACCCATCTGCCTAAGGGATAGCTATCTCAGTTTCAGAATGATGCTTCTAAACATGTCCCCTTTAAAATTGCTGGGTTTCTGCCAAATGTCTTATGGGTAAGAAGCCCCTGGAAGCAAACAAATCGCAGCAGGAATGGTTTTTCTGGTTTGTACATTGGGTTAGGGAGAATTAAAAGACAGCATAGCTACATAGTTTTCTTTAGTCCCAGTTCTCCCAGTTCTCCTGTTATTAACTCTTCACTATAAAAATGAATCCTAGGGGGTTACCCATACTGCCAATATTTACTGAGCACCTAGTGCATACCAAATGTTGTGGTATACACTAGGGAACAACATGAGGCAAAAGCAGAAACACTCTTTTCCTTCACAGAGCTTATGTTCTAGTGTTCAATGATTTCCCCCAAGGGGTACACACTGCCATTAGTTCTTATCTCTCCCTAGTTAAGAACTATCAGTAGAGGCCTTCTAAATCCCCTAAAATTTTATTTTTAAAAAAGGTATGTCTGCTATAAATTAAAACTTGATATCAGTCCTGAGGAACCTTTAGTTGGGCCCAGATTTCTTTGTAACCAGCAGATAGTCCTCAAAATCTATGGTATGAAGATTTGAGCATTCTCTGATTTCATAATAGTGTCTTTCTCAATTTTTGTTTTTTTTTGTTTGTTTTTATTGCTGAGTGTTAAGAGAGGAAAGTTATGTAAACTTTTACCCACTCTGTCATCTTAACCAGTGTTGACCTGGAAGAGAAACTGCAAACCTGTTATACAACAGACAATTTCAAACAGTGGGAATAATCCACCTTTCCCAGATATAACATATCACTTAAATTGGCTCTCCAGGCGGACTCTGAATTGCATCTCTGACATCAAAAACAATACATGTGTTTTTTCTGTACTTCAAAATGCTTTATGTGCACTAAATGCAAGAGATAATGATAGACTACAGCTATGACTGTGGACTCACAGACCTAGATCAAAATCCTGACTCTGCCAATTTCTAGCTGTGTAACCTTGGGCAAATTCACTTTTCTGAGATTCCACTTTTTTTTTTTTTTCTTTTTGAGATAGAGTTTTGCTCTTGTTGCCCAGGCTGGAGTGCAACAGCACAACCTTGGCTCACTGCAACCTCCACCTCCTGGGTACAATCAACTCTCCTGCCTCAGCCTCCCAAGTAGCTGGGATTACAGGCATGCGCCATCAAGCCCAGCTAATGTTTTGTATTTAGTAGAGACAGGGTTTTGCCATGTTGGCCAGACTGGTCTCGAACTCCTGATCTCAAGTGATCCTCCCACTTTAGCCTCCCAAGGTGCTGGGATTACAGCCGTGAGCCACCGCACCTGGCCAGATTCCATTTATTTATGTGCAAAGTTAGGTTAACAATAAATCCTATTTTTCAGGATTATCGTGAGGATTATATAAATAAAGCACCTGCTTACTACATATTAAGCACTTAGTAATTGGTGGCCATTAGTATTACTAATATATGATGCTAAATTGATTAATCATAAGGGCAGTGAGAGTTATAGCAAACAGCAGGTTGTGGAAACTCAGTGCTCACTCTAAACATGAAGAAAGTCAGTGATCACTCTAAACTTGAAGTACATATAATCATGGATATATATTTCATTTAACCCAATCGATCATTCTTGTCATCTCCATGCTTTTGTTAATGCAATTTTTTTTTTTTTTAATTTTTAGTAGAGACGGGGTTTCACCGTGTTAGCCAGGATGGTCTCGATCTCTTGACCTCGTGATCCGCCCATCTCGGCCTCCCAAAGTGCTGGGATTACAGGCTTGAGCCACCGTACCTGGCCAGTTAATGCAATTTTTTAACAAGAAAAAAACTCCACTGATGCCTACTAGATTCTGCTTGCACTTAAAAGTCCCAACTGAAAAACTACTCTTTATGATGCCCCACAACACTCCCCACAATGAAAACCGAATTCTCCTCTATTAATTTCTAGAATATTTCATGTGAGCTTCACATATGGAAACATGGCTCACACGACCTTATATTGTAATCAGGTTTTCTTCCATTAAATTTGTAGCCCTAGTACTGAGTTAGAAATTAGAAAATGACTCTCAAACATTCATGTTTCCTGTGGCCCCCTTTCTTCATGCCTCATTAAAAGGTATTACATCTTTTAATAGAGAATGACAGATTAATTCAATAGATTTAGCCAGAAAAAATAAAAAGAAACAAAGAACCAGTGGATTCTTTTTTTTTTTTGTCGCCCAGGCTGGAGTGCAGTGGCCCGGCCGCGCCCGGCCAGAACCAGTGGATTCTTAATGCTTATCAGTGTAAAACACAGTAATATATAAACACATATATTTATAAATACATTTGGGGGCCGGGCGCGGTGGCTCAAGCCTGTAATCCCAGCACTTTGGGAGGCCGAGGTGGGCGAATCACGAGGTAAGCAGATCGAGACCATCCTGGCTAACACGGCGAAACCCCGTCTCTACTAAAAAATACGAAAAACTAGCCAGGCGAGGTGGCGGGTGCCTGTAGTCCCAGCTACTCGGGAGGCTGAGGCAAGAGAATGGCGTAAACCCAGGAGGCAGAGCTTGCAGTAAGCCGAGATCGCGCCACTGCACTCCAGCCTGGGTGACAGAGCAAGACTCCATCTCAAAAAATAAAAATAAAAAATAAAATAAAAAATATATATTTGGTAAAAAGGGTCATGTGTGCAAGCCACATTTTGGCAAAGTCAATTTGTTCCCGCAAAATGAATGTGTTGAGATAGGAACACTTCTTTAGGTGTAAGCTGTGTCAAACTTGCTCTTAAAAAAATGTACTAATATACCAAGCTAGCACTACACTGATTGTTTAAAAGAAGCTAATTATATATCTCATTTTTCCAACTGGGTTACAAGTATCTTAAAGAAAACTCAATGTTAATCATTTTTAAATCTTCCACAGCCACTTACATATAGTAAACTCTCATAATGAATTCCATTAAATGAATTATAAATGCTGTATCACATTATCAATCCCCTGATACAATTTTAATAGTTTGCAGGGTCCTCCACCCCCAAAAATAAATTAAACTATCCCTATAGTTTACCTTCCTCTTCATCATCTTCTGGAGGAGAAGGTATCACTGAACTCTGCGATCCAGACTGTGGCAGGCGAACTGAAGGACTGGCTGTAGTTTTCCTCCTCTCTCTTTCTGATTCACTTTCCAAGCATACAACTTCATATAAAGTGTCAGTATTATTCTTTCTCTCCTTTTGCTTTATCTTGAGGAAGAAAAAATATTATTTATTAAGCAGTAAAATTCTTTGTTTTTAATTAATTGCAGTGTTTTAAATGTTTCTAACTGCAGTGATCTCGGCTCACTGCAATCACATCTGATTTCATATAGGATGTGAAAATAAATGATTTTTAAAAATATCTACATTAAAAGTAACTTTTTAAAATAGAAAAGCATATGTTTAGATCTTAAAATCCTTAGGAAAATAGGGCATTTACCAAGCAGTACTCTAGTTCTGCAATTTGTCTTCAAACCATATTGTCAAATATCCAACTACCAATGTTTAGCCAGTTGACACTGTCAACTAAAGAGCTAATAGTTCTGTATCTCCCAAATTAGTTAAGGCATCCTTCAAGGTTTCCTATACAAAACTATATAGAAAAAGTGTTTTAAATTATTCTAAAACATAAATGTTAAGACTAAGAAAATTCTCTTACTTCTAATGTTCCAGTGTTTTAGCCCCACTCCTTTTGCTTAAAACAGTCTATAGAACTTTTTCTTCAACTGAAAACTACAACTTGGAGTTGAGGTGAGGTCAGGGGGAGACTGAATGGCAGAGAGCACATCAACAGTAACCACAATAATTTTGATTACTCCAATTGATTGTATTTTGGTTTTATTCTGAGGCAAACATATAATTTAAACTGACCTAAATTAAAAATTTAAACCAGGAATATAAAACTTTACGCTACAATATGTATTGTAAGTAAGTACATTAACATTCCATATTACATGTAAGTACATTAACATTCTTCCTTCCATACAAGGAGGAGAAAAAAGTAGCATGAAATATAGGGAAGAATAAAAAGGGAGAGCTATAGGAAAAGGTACAGAGAAAACTAGAAAGGTGGCTATACAAAAATATATATATACACATACCAAAGTAAAAACACAGAAAGGGAGATGGGGGAATAAGATGTTCATTAGCTATAGAAATATCAGCCAGAGCAGATTTTTATCATTGCAATGTTCATTTGGGTTCTTAAAAAAAATTATCCCTATCATGGAAGTAAGGCCAAGATAGTGGCAACATGCTCTTTCAATATCATCCTGAAGCACTGTTTAATACAGAAGTCGGTAAACTTTTCTATAAAGGGCCAAATAGTAAACATTTTAGGCTATATGAGTCAGTTGTCTCTATTGCAACTATTCAACTCTGCCATTATAGTGGAAAAGCAGCCACGGACAGTAAGTGAGTGAGTCTGGCTGTGTTCCAATAGAACTTTATTTACAAAAGCAAGTGACAGGCCAGATGGACCTACAGGCTATAGTTTGCCAACTTCAGTTTAACATGTCCACCCAAGGATTACTTAATTTTCTAGATGAATATGCCATTTTGATTTAGCTACTGACTATTAAGGACTCAGACTCTGAAGTTACATGTTAATGTATAGATTTGTGTCCAGGAGATATGCAAATGATTTCTGTCCAAGAGAGAACATAACCCAAAGGTTACCTATAGGACATTAACCAGTTTTATTTCTAACCTAGTAATCTTATTGTAACATTCTTTTTTTGAAAGGAAGGACCATGTAAATACAAGTTCCTCACTCAGTTTTGCTACCTTTCTGGTTCTTTCATTAATTAATACACTGAATTAGAATATTTGATACATGTTCATTCCAAATTGATAATTATGATTTTTAACTCTTGAAAATTATACTTTAATAAGAAACAATTTAAAATTTTTGTTGTGTTATACATTGCTCTTTGAAACATTAGACAATTGGTATCCTAAACAGTTCAAAGATCAGCAATAGCTCTTTTTTGTATTTTTTTTTTGAGATGGAGTCTCTGTCGCCAGGGCTGGAGAGCAGTGGTGCCATCTCGGCTCACTGCAACCTCCGCCTCCTGGGTTCAAGGGGATTCTCCTGTCTCAGCCTCCCGAATAGCTGGGATTACAGGCGCCCGCCACTAATTTTTTGTATTTTTAGTACAGACGGGGTTTCACCATGTTGGCCAGGCTGGTCTCGTGATTCACCCACCTCGGCCTCCCAAAGTGCAGGGATCACAGCCATGAGCCACCGTGCCCAGTGAGCAATAGCTCTCTATCTTAAAAATAAACAAACCAACATGGTCCACTTAGAAACTCTTCTGTAAGTCGCAATGACCAAAGGACATGCTGCCTTTTGAAGAAGGATAAATACAGTCAATTACCGGACCAAACTTTTTTTTTTTTTTCGTTTGTTTTTCTTTTTTTTTGAGACGGAATCTTGCTTTATCACCCAAGCTGGAGTACAGTGGTGTGATCTTGCTGCAACCTCGCCTCTCAGGTTCAAGCAATTTTCCTGCCTCAGCCTCCTGAGTACATGGGACTATAGGTGTGTGCCACTACACCTGGCTAATTTTTTGTATTTTTAGTAGAGACAGGGTTTCACCGTGTTAGCTGGAATGGTCTCCTCTCTTAACCTCGAGATCCGCCTGCCTCACCCTCCCAAAGTGCTGGGATTACAGGTGTGAGCCACCGTACCCAGCTTACCGCACCAAACTTGTAAGTCAAGAAATCTAACAATGAAAAATGTTAATTGCTGAAGCTGGGTAATAGTACATGGGGATTCACTATACTACTTTATAATTTCTGCATATGTTTGAATTTTCTAGAGTAAAAAGTTTTTTGAATTATATATGTTAAATACAAAACTTTCATTTATTAAATTATACATATAATTTAAACATAGGTTTTAAATTATATATAAAATTTAAATAAGTTTTTAAATTATCTATTTATGAAATATATGTTATAAACATATAAAATAATTAAAAGCACTCAGATGAGACCAAAAAAAAGGGTAGATTTGAATAAATGGAAAGAATCCCATGTTCCTGGATATGACTCAACATCATAAAGATATCAATTTTCCCCAATAAAAACATCAGTAGTGGCCAGGCATGATGGCTCATCCCTGTAATCCCAATACTTTGGGAGGCTGTGCACTTTGGGAGGCCGAGGTGGGCAGATCACTTGAGCCCAGGTGTTTGAGATCAGCCTGGACAACAAAGGCAAAAGCCCATCTCTTCCAAAAAAAAAAAAAAAAAAAAAAAAAAAAAAAAAATTATATATATATATATACACACACACACACACACACACACAAATTGAGCCAGGTGTGGTGGCACGCACCTGTAGTCCCAGCTATTCAGGAGGCTGACACGGGAGGATCATTTGAGCCCCGAAGGCAGAGGCTGCAATGAGCTGAGATTGTTCCACTGTACTCCAGCCTGTGTAGTAGAGTAAGACTCTGTCTCGGGGGGGGAAAAAAAAAAAAAAAAAAAAAGGCCAAGCTCAGTCGCTCACACCTGTAATCCCAGCACTTTGGGAGGCCTAGGCAAGTGGATTACTTGAGGCCAGGAGTTCAAACATGGTGAAAGCCCGTCTGTACTAAAAATACAAAAAATTATCTGGGCCTGGCAGCACATGCCTGTAATCCCAGCTACTCTGGAGGCTGAGACAAGAGAATCACTTGAATCTGGGAGAAGGAGGTTGCAGTGAGCCAGGATCGTGCCACTGCACTCTACAGCGAGACTGTCTCAAAAAAACACAACCCCACAAACAAATGAAAAACACCAGTAGTTTTTTTCCCAGAGCCAGACAAGTTGAACATAAAGTTTATATGAAAAATGAATAAGAAAGAAAATCCAGGAAAACCCACAAAAAGGAGTATTTGAGGAGGGAAGGTGCACCTACCAGATATTAAAACATATTATAAAGTCTACACACTGCCAGGTGTGGTGGCTCACACCTGTAATCCCAGTACTTTAGGAGGCTGAGGCGGGTGGATCACCTGAGGTCAGGAGTTCAAGACCAGCCTAACTAACATGGTAAAACCCCATTTCTATCAAAAATACAAAACATTAGCCAGGCATGGTGGTGCACCCCTATAATCCCAGCTACTCGGGAGGCTGAGGTGGGGGAATTGCTTGAACCTGGGAGGTGGAGGCTGCAGTGAGCCGAGATCATGCCACTGCACTCCAGTCTGGGTGACAGAGTGAGACCCCATCTCAAAATAAATAAATAAATAAATAAATAAATAAATAAATAAATAAAATAAAATAAAATAAAGTCTACATAATTATGACTGTGTGATTCTAATGCAAGACCAGAGGAACAGAATATAAATACCAGAAAGAGGTCCAAACACACATGGAAATTTCATATATAAGTGTAGCATTTCAAATTACTGGGTAGAAAAGTTAAGAGTTTTTAATGAATGGTGTTAGAACAAGAGAATAGCCATTTGGAAAAAGATTAAATCAAATCCACACTTCATGCTATATACCAGAGTACATCAGAATAAAATACTAATGAATCAGAAATATAAAAGTAGTAAAATGAAACCATGTAAGTAACAGGAGAGTAACAGAAGAGTGTATTCTTTTTGTAACTTGGGAGTTAGGAAAGCCTTTCTAACTATGATCCCAAATCCAGAAAGGTTTAAAAGAAAATATTGATAAATTCAAGTACATAAAAAGAAACTGCATGACAAACCCAAAAAGAATCACCATGATGTAAGTTAAAAGATAAGTGACAAACTGGGAGGAATATCATTATCTCAAAGGGTTAATCTCTTGAATATACAAAGAGGTTCTGAAAATAAAGACAAAAAAGACCAAAATCAAAGAGAAAAGTGAAAAATGAACAAAAGATATGAATAGAAAATTCACAGAAAAGTCACCTTTATACATTAAAAGGGCAGAGGATGAAGTAAAACTACTCGTAGACACCAATGCCTCATTGATCAGATCCTTAAGTTTGACAACACACTTGACAAGCCTGCAGAGAGACAGGTATTCTCATACCCTGTCCATGGTTACACCCTCTATAGAAGGGAATTTGGCAAATATAACAATATCATGTATACATTCACCTTATGTGTCAGTGATTATACTAATAGGAGTCTATTCTAAGATGCACTTTCATAAAATCAAAATAACACATACATAACATTCCACACCGCAACATTATTTGGAATAGCAAACGACTGGAAG